TACATGCAGACATGCATACACACGTGCACATACCACACACACACACATACACACACACACACCACATACACACAATAGATCTATTTGGCAGTTCCACCTTTTATATGTGATTTGATTTTCCCTGCTCAGCTCAGACCTCCGGCAGGGACACTATGCAGCCGCAGAATCCATTTTTCCTCACCTGGAATGTGCTTCCGGGGACTAACGCAGTAACCGGCACATATTGTGTGCCCAGAAATATTTTTTTCAGCAAATGAATGTCATGGTATTTTGCTTTGTAAAATTGTCTTTGTCTGGTTCTATAGCTGAAGTTAAATTTATCATAACAACCCCACTCAGGAATACAGTTGGTGTGTTGGTACCATCTTTTTGTTTTCCCAGATTTCTTCAATTTTTAATTTACTCTCGTTGGACATCCACAAACAGGCATTAAGCTGCAAGATTTCCACAGACCTCTGATGGGAGAACTTCTCGAAGTACTCATGTATTTCTTAACTGAATTTAAAAAGGCTATTTATATCTATTCTCATTTTGCATTTAACACATCCTGACCTCCATGTTATACCGAGACGTCATTGTTTTTTCTTAAAAATTTTTTTTTTACTTAAGTTCCGTTTTTGGACATCTTCCCTGGTTTTATTTCCCACATCTCCATGTGGAAGTGCTAACAATTCCTACCATTGCCTGTGCTCTTCCCGTAGATTTAGAGGGGACAACCTATTTGTCCTTGATGCTGCGTTCCTCTCGAAGACTCCCCAGCAGAGCCGGGACTTTTTAGAGCGAGCATACGCGCGCTCTAGGGGGCATCTGTCTCTGTCTTCAACTTTACAAAAATAAAATAATAAAGCGACTTATTTCCTTCGCGCATTTAGAAGCCAGAAATAGATGGAGACGTACATTTTTCAGTCTCTGCGCCAGCCTAATGAGGGATCCGCAGACTGGGGGAAGCTGGCCAGCCTCGCCCTCGCACCCTGCTGTTCCAAGTCTCTGGTCGCTCTGTACCTGACCAGTCCAGGCCCTGGATGTCAACCTTAGCACCGAGGTGCTGTCCGGAGGCCCCGTGACTCTGGCCTGGATCCTTTGCTCCACGGATTTCCGTTGTTTTCCGTTCTGGTTTCCCAGGCTGAGAGGAAAGGGTCCTGGGGTCAGACCCCTCTGTTGTATGGGCTTCTTAAAGCCAGGGCCAGAGAGCGTTTTGGCTTCCAGGAAGTGAAGCTGAGATCCAGAGGACACGGAGCCCACGTGACTGCATCAACAGGGGCTCTGGTACCCCAAACTTGGAGGGGAGCTTCCCTGAAACCACACAAAGAATCCTGCGCTCTGCCCAGCTCTCTCAACAGAAGTTATGAGCACCGAACACCTAGCACCGAGCACCAAGGGGGTTGATTGTGTGGGGGTGTGGGGGTGTGGTATGGGCACTCACCTGGCTGATTATGGTATTGGCTGGATGCCCGGGACTGTGGAGACAGGTCTGCAGATCTTGCTACCAGCTAAGAGGAAAAGGGAAAAAGGCTTTACAGAGAGAAAAACAATACCAGGAAAGACCAAGCCTCCCCTTTCGCTGCTCCCACCCCTTCTACCCTGGCCTCGGAGAACACAGCATGCTCACAACCCTGTATTCGGATTTCTTTGAACTTTCAAGACACGGAACTACCATCAAGTGGTGAACCAGAGTTATGACCAACCATCTGGTCTGTGGTCAAAATGGTACAGCACACACTTAAAAGCTTCACCTGACCCCGCTGTCTCCGCCGAAGAGACGAAAATTCTAATGTTCTCTATATGCTGAAGTGGAAGTTTCCCAAGCCAGGGAAAATAGGCCCTGCCCACCAGGTGCTTTTAATATGGTGGGGAACCTAGAAAACTGGCCCTGTCCAGGGTGCTCTTAATATGGTGGGGGAACCTAGGCAAGTTGAGGGTTCCTTGGATCAAAGGATTGAGCCACCTTTACTGCCGCTCTCCACGTGTCTGTTTGCAGAGCGCATTTGTTCAGTATTCGAGGCCAACCGTCACCACCAGCTACAAAATCTCAAGAATTTCTATCACATGACAATCCTGAATTCTTCTGAGGATGTTGGATGCGTGCCACCTTTCGGGAGAAGCCAGAGAGAGTCTTCCAAGACGCTCACAGATCCAAGCAGATGACAGATTGGAAAAGAGTGAGCCCGGCACACAGCCTCACTCGCTTCACTGTGGAACGGCTCCTATGGGATCTGTAGGATCCTGTCGAATGTTCGACCACACTGTCTGTGTTGAAAGTACCGCAGAGTTCATCTGTCCAGGAAACAAACCCTAATTTAGGTTACACCAGACACAGTTGGAAGGGGCCAAGATAAACGTAATCTTCATATATGAGTATTTTCTTACTGATGTGGATCATACCACAAAGATCACAAAACTGGGCACCCTAAAATTAATTGGTTCCTTATAATCAAGGGCACATTACATGCAAAGGTCTAAGGGCTATGTCGTTTCGAACAGCATTTACAATTAGTCAGAAGAAATGGACACACAATTACTGTAACAAATACCTATAAACTCACCATCCACACTACAGCACCCATATAATGAGACGTCTCCAACTGGAACAAACCCCTTTCCATCTCTACCACTTAGCCAGCTCCTAAATTCTCTCCAAACATTTATCCTATTGCAAACGTGGTTCACAGGTATTTATAACGTGTGAAGACTTCAGCTCTCCTGTAGAAAATAAGAGAACGGTAAATGAAGAAAATGGAACTGCGGATTAAAGTAGCTTACATAAACAAAAGTCATAAATGACTTCGAGGGTTAATGAGGCATGTCACACGTAATTAGAATGTAATTAGAAGGGAGCAAGAGAAGCCGGGGTACCCGCCAGCTGTGACACATGGAATATGCAGGAGGCCTGAATCACCCAGCGTTGGTAAGCACTGGAGATACTTGGGTTGCAGGAAGCATGCCTCCCACAAAGCATTGCCTGGCCTGCTACCGGCTCCTCACATCCTCTGCACGGGTGCATAAATCATCATGGCTGCTCATGAGGCTGCCTGGAAGGCTCTGTCAGTCAAGTGCCCTGCCACAAAGACCATAGAGCAAGTGGGGCTTTTAATCGTAGGAACCCAAGTCTTCGGAGACGCTTGTTCAGCTCTGATCCTGTGAGCACATCCTCAGTGAGGAAGGCGGGTGTGGCGGAGAGGAAAGAGACAGAACCAAGCACCAAGGGGTCACATTTCCATTCAGCCAACGGAAGATCTGAAACACGCTGGCTTGTTCAGTATGCTCCTGTGGTGGGCTTTAACCCACACATTGTCATTGTGAGCTTGGAATACCTTGCTTTGGTTCCCAAGCCTTTCGGTTCTATGGTCTGTAGAGTGACTTGCTGTCGGTGTGTTTGCAGGCTACGGCAGCAAGGTAGTGTCTCACGCCATGGTCATCACGAGTTTTTAACACGAGTGTAAATACATTCTGCACCATCCTCTCCAACTTACTGCATTCGTTCAATATTTTATCTGTGAGATATTCTTCCATCTTCAGTTTCCTTCCTTTGCGCACTACACCCAGTGGGTATGTCACAACTTAACTATGATGTTTCTGTTGCATCCAAGTGGCTCCTGGTTTTGAAGCGCCGTTCTCGGTGCTGCTATGGATATTCTGGTCCGTGCTCCCCAGACATAAGCAAAGGCAGCGTCTTAAAGATTCTAAACACTTGAGTGCAATTTCTGGGTCAAATAAATTACACACACACACATATATATATATAGCCAGTCAACTTGACTAAATAGTGCCAGATATGTATGCCAAAGCGTGCTATAAAGCTTCTCCTTCTGGGGCTGGTAGCACTGGATTCCTACTCCCGGACCATCTTTGAGTTACCGGTCTTTATCCGCTGAGATGCTGAATGGGTGCCCTTGGCTCACACAAAAGTTACAACTGTGACAACTGAAAAAAATCGCATGGCATTTTTCTCTTCTTTCTTTCTTTTGTTTTTTGTTTTGTTCTGTTTGTTTTGTTTTTCCTCAAGACAAGGTTTCTCTGTGTGACCCTGACTATCCTGGAACTCGCTCTGTAGACCAGCATGGTCTCAAACTCAGAGTTCCGTCTGCTTCTGCCTTCCGAGTGCTGGGATTAAAGGTGAGTGCCACCACCTCCCATCATGGAATTTCTTTGGTTCTTCACTTATAAGGAAAAAAAAAAAGCTGTACAGAATTTACATTGGAATTCTGAACTTCCTCATTTAGGACCAGTCGATGTAACAAGAGGGCCGGCTTGTTGGGGTATCTGTTCCTGCCCGGTACCCCACAGTCGGCAAGTCCCAGAGAAAATCAATCACACAGAGATCTCTATAAGTTATAAAGCTGATTGGCCCATTTGGTCAGGCTACTTATTAGTTCTTATAACTTATGTTACCCCATTATCCTTATCTACGTTAGCCACATGGCTCAGTACCTTTTCCAGTGGGGCAGCTTACATCTTCCCTCTCCAGTGGTCTGGGCAGAACTGCGGAGGGAGCTTCCTGCTTCCCAGAATGCTCCCAGTCTCTTTGCTCCACCTCTACTTCCTGTCTGGCTTTCCCGCCTATCCTGCCTGCCTGGCCAATCAGCGTTTTATTAAAATATGATTGACAGAATACAGACAATTCTCCCACACCAAGTCTAGTTCCCCTTTCTATTCTTAATGCGGTAGTCAGAGGACAGGCGTCTTTCCAACACAATTTGCCGATTTCTTGCTAGGGATTATGACTTGGGAGAAGATACTACATTAGATACTTTAGGACTAAACGGGGGCACAGGCGAGTCCATGACCCCTGAGCACATGGCCTGGGGACTATGACTCTCTAGAGGTCTTACTCCCAGGCTGTGGATGCATTTGTAAAATAAACAAATAAATAAATCTTGAAAGCTGCCTGGTGTCACGGCATATCCACCGGCAGGGCTCGTTCCTTGCCCCGACTCGGTCACTGGATATTTGTCAGGGTAAAGTATTTTCAGATTTAAGAAAATTCCAAAAATGCAACCCACATTCAATATTTTAGGTCACGAGTGCCACAATCATCTTTTTCCAAAGCCCAAAGGGAACTGGTGAAGGTCATGCAAAATCCAGGAGAACACACCAAGCCTGCGCTCCTCGGAGTCCAGAGAGGCCCTTGAAGAGCCTGGTCTGGCAACCTCATCTTCTACCATCTTTGCATCTTAAGTCCTTCAGAGCAAGGCTCATTTCGTTTGGCGGTTACCTCCCTAACTGACCGCTTCCGTCCTTCCCTGCCTTTGATCCCGTAGCTTCTGGGGAACGGGGGACACTTCCTGCATCTTCAAGCCTGTGACCCTCCTATGAGGCTTGGATGACATTCCGCCCTCTCCCACACCCGAGTCAGAACCATCGCTCGTTGATAAAAGCAACTGTTTATTTGCGTGTCTGTTCCCCTTTGTAGACCGGGGATTACAGAAGGCTTTGTTTGGTTTTTTAGTTCTCTTACACAGGTTTCGTGTGTCCCTTGGTTGATGGTCAAATACTGACCAAGTGAATAATCCCCGGGAGGAAACTTCTTTGGAAGACAGCACACGACAACCTGAACCCCTCCAGGTATGTTTAGATCTGATCAGGCTCTCCCTTGTTAGGAAACAAACTTGGGATATCAGGAGCCTGCCAGGCGCAGGAGTGGAAGGCAGTGAAGGGCTTGATGCGGTGCAGAATGGGGCGGGGCGGGGCGGGGCGGAGGCGGGGAGTATGGGGATGCTGCCGGCCAGAGCCCAGCAGAGCAAAGACCAGCGGGAATGTTCTGGCAGTTCTATCCGCCCCTCCTTGCCCAGAGAGGACACTCCCTTGAGGACTCCTGAGCTGTGTGGGAAGCCTGGGGTATTCTCACGGCTTCCATGCCGCCCTGACGGTCCTCACGTGCTTCTGCTGGTCTGAATTCCCCTTCTTGCCTAAGAAGCGCCACCTCGTCAGCCAGCGGCAGGCCTGTTTCTTGATCCTAACATCAGAACTCCTACTCATCCACAGTATGTGTGAGGAGGAGTGTGGGTTGACAAGGCACATACAGAGGACCTTGTACTGTGCCTGGCGCTCCTACCATCAGGGTCAGAAGCGTCTGGGCAGCCTGCCACGGGAAACTTCGCAGCACCCTCCGTCCGGACGCCAAGGGAAATCTGCTGTTAGGTAGACCTTGAGGCTGGAGGGGCAACACGAGGAAAACAGTCAGAAACAGACTGAAGTCAGGAAATGTAACATCAACACCTAAATGCACCAGCCACTAGTAAATTCACATTCTTCTATAGCATATGTTTGAAGGTCATGGCTGGTGAGCATGGGGTAGTAGCTTAATACTACCAATAAGGCTTGGACCAGAGTTGGTTTTGTTTTTTTTTTTTTTCAAGATATGTAGTCTTGGCTGTCCTGAAACTCGCTCTGTAGACCGGCCTCACAGAGATCCACCTGCCTCTATCTCCCGAGTGCTGGGATTAAAGGCGTTGGCCACCGCACCTCGCTCAGAGCAGGCATTTGTAAGACATGGTGTTGTGCATGGAGTCAGGACCCCCAAAGACCACAAGAGGTAGAGCCAATGCAAAAGCAGAGTCTTCTTCTTCTTCTTCTTCTTCTTCTTCTTCTTCTTCTTCTTCTTC